AATTGAGGTGCATACACGCTATCTCAACCTATAGGGCTTCCATACAGACTTCAAGCCGAGGACACGCCTCTGGGTATTTAAACCAGACTTTAGTCTCGGAAATCCCAAACCTTTGCGTTCTAGGCAACAGCCATTTGAACTCTAATTTCCACCGTCGCAGTTGGTCTCCTAGGAACTCATTACGAACACAGCCAAGATGCTTCTGGCAGGGAATGGTACTAAGGGTGAGCACTTTTGGTCGCCATTCTGGCTTGAAGCAGACTTGATCTTGAGCTTGAGGTAGAGGCACACTCATACTTTGGAGCATTGGCAAGACCTGAAGACGTACACACGGAATGTAATCTCGGAACTTACAGAAGTTGAAACAAACTCAGATACCCGACATTTTCCCTCTTTTCTTTTGCTTTGCAGTCTGGAACTTATATAGCTTCAGATAGGTCCTGGTTTTACTATTCCCGCATGACCTGGGTTGAACCCTACGGTTTTACGAAAGAACGAATCCTATTTTGCACATATGTGGAGATCGGCACAGCACTCGGAGCGCAAAACGATTTTAGTTTTGAAATTGAGAGATAAGTTCTTGACCGGCGTATTGAGCCTACGACTGAACACAGCGCACTACGACTTAACAACAGAAAATAAAAGGTAAACAACCTAAACACATCGAGTAACACTCGAAACGACTCAAAACAAGAATCGAGATAAAACAAAAAGACACGACACTCAGACGTGCACTGGGAGCCTATTTCTCTGGGTATTGTTTCCCACCCTTTCTTATTTGTGATTCTCACATCACTCGGCCCTCAGGCCCTGTTTTTTTTTTTTTTTTTTTTGAAAAAGCTATTTTCCTCACTTTTTCTCTGAGCGCACATTTCTCTATTCTTCAATCTCTCATTTTTTGTCCCTCCCCTAGGTGGTTGATGGATGGATAAACAAGAAGTTGCAGGCTCTTGCCCCTAGCATTCTGCTAGATTCTCTTTCTTCTACTCACAACAGTGAACTTCCCCCACAGAGGGGTTATGATGCAGCTGGATGTGCAGCAGATCTGCAATTGACATTGGTTGACGATGCTCTACTGGGGAGTTTGGACGTGATTAGATCTGTCCAAGCAAAGTGTTACTTTTTACATCCAATAGTTTATGTCATACAGTTTTAAACTTCAGCTGCTTATATTTTTTTGAAAGTTTGCTTTACAAAAAACAAAAAAATATGTTCATAAGCTATGGATGGTTTATTTATGGGTAAATTACAACATCCCTGCACTTTACACAAAATCTCACTTTAGTTTCTACACATTAAGGGGTTGTTTGTGATGTCCTAAATAAGTGTCATTTTTGGACTAAAAAGTTGAGGAAAAAAATATGGTTGTTTGGATTAACTTTTTGACTTTTTATGAAAAAATATGTATTAAAAAATTGTATAAATTAGTGTGTAAGAGAAGATTAGGAGTGTGAGTTGTACGGTTATACTATCTGCGCAGCTGAATTGATGCTAAGAAGTAGTTGCCTACTTTTCGAGCATTGCACTAGACGGTGCTGTTCGGCCCGTGGGGGCCATCACGGGTCCCATTTTGATAATCTGAACCGTTCAATGTGTAGAAATCGTCGAGTACTATATGCTTGTAAAAAATCATGTTGATCGGATATCGATAGCTATCTGATCAGTTTTTTTTTTTCAACCGTTAACTATAACACCATCCATTTTTTTTATACAAAACTAATTTGATTATGTAGTTAGCGATATCCGATCAATGTGATTTTTTACAAACATATAGTACTCGACGAGTTCTACACATTGAACGGTTCAGATTATCAAAACAGGACCCGTGATGAGCCCCCACGAGCCGAATAGCACCGTGTTGTTTGTGCACCCCGCTTGTGCAATTTTTCCAAAAAAGTCAGCAAAGTCTGAAGGGAGACAGGCACCAATTAGGTGGATGAACCAATTAAGGACAACTAATTTCACTCAAAAGAGGTAGGTGAATAAAATTAATTACTTTTTACATCCAATAGTTTATGTCATACAGTTTTAAACTTCAGCTGCTTATATTTTTTTGAAAGTTTGCTTTACAAAAAACAAAAAAAATATATTCATAAGCTATGGATGGTTTATTTATGGGTAAATTACATCGTTGTACTTTACACAAAATCTCACTTTAGTTCCTACACATTAAAGGGTTGTTTGTGATGTCCTAAATAAGTGTACTTTTTGAACAAAAAAGTTGAGGAAAAAAATATGGTTGTTTGGGTTAACTTTTTGACTTTTTATGAAAAAATATATATTAAAAATTTATATAAATTAGTGTGTAGGAGAAGATTAGGAGTGTGAGTTGTACGGTCATACTATCTGCGCAGCTGAATTGATGCTAAGAAGTAGTTGCCTACTTTTCAGGCATTGCACTAGACGATGCTGTTCGGCCTGTGGGGGCCATCACGGATCCCATTTTGATAATCTGAACCGTTTAATATGTAGAAATCGTTGAGTACTATATACTTGGAAAAAATCATGTTGATCGAATATCGATAGCTATCTGATCAGATTTTTTTTTTCAACCGTTAACTATAACACCATCCATTTTTTTTATACAAAACTGATTTGATTATGTAGTTAGCGATATCCGATCAATGTGATTTTTTACAAACATATAGTACTCGACGAGTTCTACACATTGAACAGTTCAGATTATCAAAATAGAACCCGTGATGGACCCCCACAGGCCGAACAACACTGTTTTAAAATTGCACCCCAACTGTGCAATTTTTCTAAAAAAACGCAGCCACAGACTCTGAACTGGTCAGACTGAGTTGTAATTTTGTGGGTAATTTTTTTTTTTTTTTTATGAATAGTGATAACTTTTTAACTTTTTGGCCTTTTGACTTTTTCTGTGTATCCCAAACCAGCCCTAAATTGTGATTCTTAACCCTTTGCACTTTTGGTAAGTGTCACATTGACCTTTCTGTTAATAGTGAGGCTAACAGAAGTTATCCTTTAGGGAGCTAAATGTCACAATTTTGATGTGTAAGGATTAAAGTGAAATTTTGTATAAAATACGGAGGTGCAAAGTGTAATTTATCCTCACATATTTTTCATGTGACTAACCACTGTTAACAATAACGCTAACAGAAGGGCCAGAGCGACACTTGACCAAAAGTACAAGGAGTTAAGTGTCACAATTTGATATTTAGAGACCAAAGTGGAATTTAATGTAAAGTGCAGGAGTACAAAGTATAATTTATCCTTTTATTTATTTAAAATCCACCTTTGTTCTTCCCCATCCATCATTGACGCTTAGCTCCAGTGCGGACTCATTCATTAAGCACCATTCTCACATAAGTCTCGATAAACCATAGTTGTAGTACCGTATAGTTGATAAAACAAAAGTGTGTGAAATAGCAGGTTTCGAATGAGCATAAAAGCATTTTCGAAATAAAAACCAGAAGGTTACCATGTAGAGTACCCAATACTTTATAAAACAAAACCAAGTGTGACAAAGGGCAGGGTTTGAAAGATTGTAAAAACATTTTGAAACAGAATATACAGCATCTTTGTTACAAATATCAGTACTTCTCTGCCACAGGTCTAGAAGGAAATAGCCTCAGAAGAAATGTCATCAATGACCAAAGGCAAGTGACACCAATGGCTTGGAAAGCCACTAGCATAGCAACCATGGCACCACTTCTTTCCAGCACATCTGGGGTTACAGGAACCCCCTTCATTGCAAACATCAACCTCTCAATGAAATTAGCCGCTTTGCTCAACTGATAGAGTCTGTAGACCTGCCAAAACAATTCAAAGTTTTCGTAACTCGATTTTTTCATCCTAGAAGTAAGGAAAGGAAGTTAAATAAGTTTTGAAAGTCATATACCTCAAAGATTATAGGCACTAGAAACCAACAAGATGATCCACGTTTGTCAAGGCACATTTCAAACACAAACTGAGCTAGACACCCAGCAAGAAAAGGAGCTATTGCAACCAAGGCTGGCAACCCAAGTACTGGCCAAGTAACATAGACAGCAAAGAGAGGAGCAATAACCTTAAAGCCCATGGCGAAGAATGCAGATGTCAAGTACCCTCTGAGGCCTGTGATGAGGCCCCACCTCTTTGGGCTGAATTGCAGATATGGCTTCTGAACAAGGTCGGTTACAAGTAGAAAAGTTGCAAGACCAATATAAAACATGACCTCAGAAGAGAATGAAGCCAGAATTTCTGCATTACCATAATCATGGAAGTCAAAATTGGATTGTTTATTCATAAAGAGAAAAGAACATAACGACACGAAAACAACACATTGCCAAAAGTTTAAAAGGGATACATATATGAGAAGTCATGTATACTACAAATGATACTTTTTTTATCGAAGATTTAAACCAAACAAGTGCAGCAAGTATGTTTCAGTTTGAACTATTGATTTACATAATTGGAAGTAACCAATTAGGTTTATGACGAAACCTTGATTCCTAAGAAGCACTAAACACTTCTATGGACAGAGTGTCGTGTCGGACAAGACAATATGCAGACACTCCTAAAAGCATGCCAGTCTGCCAGACACTTCTTCATAATATCAGATACTTCGACAATACTTGTTGATGCTTCTTAACATAACCTATGTGATGAATCTCTTTATAGTAATAATATTATTCATTCTTTTAAATGCAATTTGTGCACTCTAAGGTGTCGTTTGACAACGTTTACAATTTATTGTTTTGAGTTTACATAAAAAACGTTTATGTCTATTTTTGGTATATATAAAATAAAATAAAATAAAAAAACATGTTTGGTACACAAGTATTTTAAAATTTTGTTTTTAAAAACAATGAAAATGAGGGAGGGTGGGAGGTGATTGTCGACAGTTGGAGATAGTGGCCAGAGGTGGTTGTTGGCCGTGGGAGGTAATGGTCGAAGGTGCTTGCCACCAGTGAGAGCCGGTTGGCAGTGGCCGAAGCTTAGTTGCACGAAACGGGAGTGGGAGCGTGGGAGTGTGGCCACTTAGAAGAGTCATAGTTTGGGAGCGCTTATATATTATTTTTATTGAAAATACATACATATATATATATATATATATTTTTGATTGGCACCGGGGTGTCCGAATTAAAGCCTAACTAATCTCCAATGGTGCATAGACCCTCGGCAAAGAGTTTCCTGCAAGTGCACCACGGTTAATTCAAGGGTTTCCCCCAGTCCAATGACCTCAAGAAATTGTTAGTACTTAAGAGGTTTCAATCCCTAAACCTAAAGGGAAGCACACTCCCAAGACCCAAGGCTAACCCCTTGGGGTTATTATTGAAAATATTTTTAATTTATTTATATAAACTTCTTTTTTTTTTAATTTTTAATATTGAATTCATAAGGGAACAACAATGTCATTGCAATAAAAATACAATAAATTAATATTAAGGCAATAAAAATAAAACTTTCTACATATTAGATAACTCCTAATTTCGTCTGCAAATTAACATACAAATATTATGTCTCCTCACTTCCATCTCGTTATCATCACCTTCAACATGATTGCCATGGCATGCTTGTTGAGACCTTGATCCTTCCTTTTCATTAGGCACATAGTGCCTGTTTGGCAGAGCTTAATTACAGCTTATTTCAGCTTTCAGCTTAATTTAAGCTATTTTGATGTGTTTAGTTTAGCTTATAGCTTATAGCTTATAGCTTATAGCTTTTTGGAAGTCAGAAATCAGCTTATTCTTTGAGTGGGGCAGGAGACCCATGGCGTACCCCCTCCGCACCCATGCCGTACCCAAATGTACCAGACGTACCAGACCCCTTTTGGCCGTACCCGGTACGCGTGCAGCCGTACCGGTACGCGTACCCGTACCAGGTACGTACCCGGTACTTGTACGGCAACATTTTACGAGTACCGGTGCTTCATAGGTTGCACGAAACGAGAGTGGGAGCATGGCAGCGTGGCCACTTAGAAGAGTCATAGTTTGGGAGTGTTTATATATTATTTTTATTGAAAATATATATATATTTTTTTTGATTGGCACCGGGGTGTCCGAATTAAAGCTTGACTAATCCCCAGTGGTGCACAGGTCCTCGGCAAAGAGTTTCCCACAAGTGCACCACAGTTAATTTAAGGGTTTTCCCCCAATCTAATGACCCTAAGGAATTGTTAACACCTAAGAGGTTTCAATCTCTAAACCTTGGGAGAGCACACCCCCAAGACCCAAGGCCAACCCCTTGGGGTTATTATTAAAAATATTTTTAATTTATCTATATAAACTTTTTTTATATATAATTTTTAATTGACACATATACATATACATATATGTGTGTGTGTGTGTGTTATAAATGAGATTCAATTTTTTTTTTATTTTATATAATATTTAATTAATTAAATACAACATAAAAATATTTTTTAAAAATGAATAGAAAATAAAATTCATTCTAAATATAAAAACAAAATGAATTAATAAATTCGAACATTATAAGAATATTTTAATTCATTCTCATTAATACTATCATCAAAATAGATGTCCATAAAAAATATATAATAGGTCATTATCATTGAAACTTTAAATCACAGAGACCAAAAAATTAATGAAGTGATATTATTGAATCTTCAAAACACAGAGACCAATAAAAATAATGGAGTGATATTCTTGAATCTATAAAACACAAAGACCAACAAAATTAGTGGAACACATAAAGGCATTACCTTTAAATAAAATATAATAAATGATCCATTATCAGTCTCAACAATAGATAAAAAGAGGGAGAAAACGAGAGAAGAAAAGAAGATTGAGAGACAGAGAGAAGATCGAGATCAAGAGTGAGAATGAGAGATCGAGTCTCGATCGCTTCCTTCTCACATTAGATTCGCGTTTCTCTCTCCTCAAACTTGTGATTCTTCTTCGATTCTTCCTCAAAAGTGCAGAATCGTGCTTCTTCCTCAGATTCGTGAGCATTTTCCACTATTTTTGCTACTAAGGGCCGAAGGTGGTTGTCAGCCATGAGAAGTGGTGGCCGAAAGTGATGTCGATGGTTACCAATTGACCGCCTAAGGTGGTAGTTGAAGGTAGTTCTCAAAAAAAAGATGGTGGCTAACGGTGGTTATCGTCGGTGGGAGATGGTTGGTGGTTGGCGATTGAGGGAGATGGTAGACAGAGATGGTTGGAAGAGAAGGTAATTGGCAAAGGTAGCTGGTAGTGATGAGCAATGGGGGGTGGTCAGAAAGAGTGGGAGAAAAAAGAAATGAAAAAAATTAAATAAAACAAAAAAGTGAAACCAAATTTTTCGTGTTTACAAAATTTACAACTTTTTGAAAAGAAAAATAGATGCCAAACAAGTTTTTGTTTACAGTTTTCAAAAATTCTATAAATATAAGGTGCCGTTTGGCAACATTTACAATTTACTGTTTATTTTGCGTATAAAAAAATAAAAAATAAAAACATGTCTTGTATACAAGTATTTAAAAAAAATTTGTTTTGAAAACAAGTAAAAAAAGATGGTTGTCAATGATTGGAGATGGTGGCTGAAGGTAGTTGCCACTGCTGGGAGGTGGTTAGCGGTGGCCGAAGTTGGTTGTTGGCCACATTAAGTGATGGCTGAAAGTGATTGCCGATGGTCAAAGATGATGACCAATCAGCCGCCCAAGGTGATTTTCAACGAGTTGGTGGTCGAAGGTAGTTACTGCCAGTGGGAGGTGGTTGGTGACCGAGGGAGGAGGTGGCCGGAGGTGGTTCGCTAAGGAGATCATTGGCGATTGTAGCTAGTAGTGATAAGCAATGGGCAGTGGTTGAAAGGGTGGGGAAAAGAGGAAGAATATATGTATATATATATATTTAAACAAGTGAAAGAAATGTAGAAACCAAACTTGTCTTTGTTTAGAGTTTTCAAAAATTCTGTAAATATAAACATAAAATTGTAAATATAAAATGTTACCAAACAGGCCACATTACCAGACAAGCTCTAAACGTTACCAAACATGCCCTAAATATGTTTTGAAACATTTATAAGATGAATATATCATGTATATTACAATATTCTATGATTATTTTGCATTCTTTAGACAACAATTGTTACGTGAATGATATCTTGATGTTAAAGTTATGAAATATATGATTTTTTTTATTTTAATTTTTTTTCCCCTTTGAATAAACTATTCATATATGGGGATTGCTACTATATACACCCCCAAAAGTTGCATATGGTAATGATGTAGGACATGATTTTAAGAATTTTTATATTTTTAGTTTTAATATTTTTGATATATTATTTGATTAGGATTCTTGTAATTTAGTAATATTTTAGAATTAGGTTTCTTAATTTGTTTTAATTTCCTTTTCCTAATTCCTTAGGTTTCTTGTTTTCCAAGAATACTTGATCTCCAAGGTTTAGATGATTATAAATAGCTTTGTAAGCTTCACGGCAAAGACAACTTTTATTAAATAATATTCAAATATTTTCTCTTCCTTGTGAATTCAAGGTTCTATTTTTCTCGTGGATTCGAGAACTCTTTTGTCTACAAGAACGTTATCTAGTCCCCGTCCGTGTTACGTGGACTCAACAGTTTGGGGTGAAGTACCCATGTTGACATGTCTCAACACGGGTGCGTGTATGGGATCTGTGTCAGATTCGCCTCCTCTCTTGAACACGGCTAATAAAAAAGGAAGAAGGTTGAGATACTTACATCGATGTACTGGGTTCGAGATCTAGATTTGTTGAATCCTTAGTAGCAGGAATCGTGGATATTGATCTCCATCTCGATCTTTCTGTCTTTCGATCTTCTTCTCTGTCTCAATCTCTCTATCTCGATCTCCTTTTCTCTCTCTGCCTCGATCTCTCTCTCGATCGTGTTGTGCATGTGTGAGAGAAGAGAAGAGAAGAGAAGTGAAGAGACAGAGACAGAGCTAGAGAGATTTCATCGTCGTGCTGCTGTGCATGTGTGAAAGAGAGAAGAGAACAGAGGAGTTTGACTAGCTACTAGATTGTATCGTAAACCCTAATGGGCTGGACCCAAATAAATAAATAAAAAGTTTGGGCCTATTGCCTGGCTTGTATCATAAACCCTAATGGACTGGACCCAAAAGCTTGGGAGTATTGGTTGGTTTGTATCATAAACCCCAATGGGCTGGACCCAAATACATAAATAACAAGTTTAGGCCTATTTATAAACTCAGTTCAACAGTAAAAACTAAAGCTTTTTAGTGTTGTATATCTGGCCAACATCTCTATTAATAACACGGGCTATTATATGACTTATCAATATGTTTGATCATATTTATAAAAAAATTATTGAGCCAACTTTTTTCAACTCATCTTCATATAATAAATATACTTAAAAAGTAACTATTTAACATATCTCCATATCCGTATCCAAATTTGAATCCATATCCACGTATCCTCATTTTTAATTTTGAAGTGTCCGACCCCTAGATATGCACCCGCACCCGAGTCCGAGTCCATGTAACATAGATCCCTATATATTCCGCTGCGTCAAGTGGTATTAGAGCAAAGATTTGCCTGGCTCAATGGCATTCATCGGAGTAGAAAACACAAACCCTATTGACAATGATCATACAGTGGAAGCCATATGGAATGTGACTGAGGAACATTGGCTAGAGGTGCATGAACTTCGCAATGAAATTTGTAATTTACTTGCTGAATTGGGACTATTCGTCAACCAGAGGCAACCAACAACTGATAGCATTTGCGCCGAAGGATTCACCCGAGGCCAACCAGTTAGCTTACGTTATTTTGTAGAAATTTCATATTTTAACAGTTCAAGTAAGTTTCAAAAAGAAGATTTTCTTGATTGGTTGCTTAATCTTGAAAATTTCTTTGAATACATGAAGATTCTTCATGAAAAGAATGTTATATTTACATCCTACAAACTTGATAAAATTGTATTGAAGTGATGGAATGGATTATAAGATTATCGAGTTTGCAAAAGTAAAAACAAAATTCATTCATGGTTAATAATGAAAAAGTCAAAAAAATTTATTTTCATAATCATGAAGATATATTGTCATATACGAATCAAAGATAAATCAATGGAGTTAATAAAAGTTTGCAATGAAATTGTAGTTGCAAGAGAGAATATTTCACATCCTAATATTATTTGTGTTGAGGGTACTTATAAAACTAATGAAGAAGATTTAAATATTCAAGAGGAAGTTCTATTAGGAGATCATGAGAAAATTAAACAAGAGATTTCAACCATATGCCATGACGTAATGAAGAAGATTTAAATATTCAAGAGGAAGTTCTATTAGGAGATCATGAGAAAATTAAACAAGAGATTTCAACCATATGCCATGACGAAAGTCAAGACAAATCAAAGATTGTTGAAAGGTTTGAAACTTATGCCTTCAAATTGGAACTTATTTCAAAGGAGGAAACTGCTCAAGTCGAGAATTTTTCCATAAAAAGTGAAGATTCATCAAAGAAGAAGATTTTAAAGTTCCAATATCCAATAAAATTACACAATTCAATTCATTCACCGATGGATGCTAAGGAAGAAAGAATTGATTTTATAGGTGTCGAAAGTTTTAATGTGATTTTTAACATACATTTGATTGATCTTGTCAATCAATTGAAGATTAGCTTGAAGAAAATTTTGCACAATCAATTCATGGAGATTTCTTGGGCATTACAACTGAAGAAAATAAGGTATTCAAAATATTTCTTTATTTGACATGGAAGATGGCAGATATCTAGTCAGAACTCGAGAACGAGTTCTTTCAAAGAAGTCTAATGTATGACAAGATTTTAAGAATTTTTATATTTTTAGTTTTAATATATTTTTATATATTATTTGATTAGGATTCTTGTAATTAGTAAAAATATTTTAAAATTAGGTTTCTTGATTTGTTTTGATTTCCTTTTCCTAATTAATGAGGTTTCTTGTTTTCTAAGAATTACATTAGTTTATTGTTTTTTATTTTAGATTTCTTGGTGTCTAAGAATACTTGGTCTCCAAGGTTTAGATTATTATAAATAGCTATGTAAGCCTCATGGCAAAGACAACCTTTATTCAATAATATTCAGATATTTTATTTTTCTTGTGGATACAAGGTTCTATTTTTCTTGTGAATTCGAAAAGCCCTTTTGTCTACTAGAACGTTATCTAGTCTCCATCTATTCTGATACATTAGGTATGCACAAATTTTAACCACAATAGTTTATAGCTTCCACTAATTTGAACCATAAAAAAACCAAATTGGTTCATACAAAAATACCACAAAAGCCTCAAAACCTATGAAGCATGGTTATTTCGACAAACATGCCGTACCCATACCGGGTACTTATTGGCGTATGGTACTTCTTTGAGATTACACATCTATTAACTCTTCTCGAATCATTGAGATTACACATCTATTTATAGGCTAAAGACTCTCCTAATTCTCTAAGGACTATAACTCAAATTTAGAAACTAAAAATATTTAGCAACTACTAATATTCTAGACCAACTATGACTACCAATTCTACTTCAATCATAATAGGAAACTTTCATGACTTCTAATCCTACTTCATTATAAAAATAAGAAACATAGGGTGTGTTTGGTTTGGTTTTGGGAGATAAATTCTCAAAAAATATTTTGGGGAAAGAAAAAGAGTTTGGAAATTTTTTTGGTTTGTTTGGTTGTATATTTTGGAAATAGTTTTGAAGTATGGGAGTTTGGGATGATTTGATATTTTGTTATAGTTGAATAGATATGTGTGAAAGAAAAAGTGATTGAGAAGGAGAGAGGAGAAAGAAAAAGTGATTGATTGATGTATAGGAGATAGAAAGTGATTTTGAAATTTTTTTTTTCCAAAATCACTAAACCAAACAAAATTTTAGAAAATTTTCTCCAAAATTTGTTTCCCAAAAACAAACCAAACAAGGCCTTAGACTTTTACCACTAAAATTATTTTAGACATAATAAAACTCATATATAATGATCCATTTAATAACTTGATATAACCCAAGGGCGACCCCTACAACTCATGTCCTATAATTATTGGAATTATCATTGTATCCTAAATTACTAAAACCTACTCTAATGACATGAAAACTCAAAATAATTTGAAATTTTTAATTCTTAATGCCCTAAATGTGCTAAATGTGAAATTCCATATTTGCTCTTTTACTTCTTTCCATGATCTTCATCACATATGTTCTGCTAAATACAGGTACATATCAAGGCAATGGGCATTCTTGTCTCCAAATATTCTTAATTTGTTATGTGGTCTTTCTAATCCATGAGGCAAAGCTGATCAGAGTTCGGATTTCTTTTCTATCTAAAATCTAATAATTCAATGATACAGATGGTTCACAACAAAAGTTTATCATAGTATCATAGCTCTAGAAGTAAGTAGTTAATCTCCGAAGCCAACTAAGGCATGAATTATTATATCCACGGCCGTAAACAGCTAGACTGTGTTGATCTGGTTGGTTTCTTAAATACTATTTTTAGATCATGATTAAAATCCAAATAAAACAGAGCAGCATGCATCCACACACATACATTCTGAAATATGAAGTATCATCTAAGTGAGACCCAGCAAGGCATAAATCTCAGTGAACTGCCTATTGCTCTAAGAATGACAGTCATCAAAATAAATCATAATCCGGGATTTTGGAGAAGGCCACTTAGCCATGGATTTTTCTTTAGGTCTTGTGTTATATCAAATCATATAGCATTATATCTAGCCATACAACTGAAGCACCTCAAACCATGTTATTAAGGGCGCCCCTTCCTCCTCTCTCTCTACTACCTCTAAGAAAACAAGGACAAAAACAATAAAATTAAAGGGAACTAAAAGGGAAAAAACAAGGTTTCGCATGCCATTGGATTCGAACTACTAAACATTTGAATAACTATATTGGAACAACACTGCCATGACACATAAATTTTGTGTCAGGGATCAAAGTTTTCATGCCACTATGCCGGTCAGTCTCTGTCAAAAACAATTTTACCAATTAAACCAAGCAATGACTATCACTAACACTTAAAAGATTTGAATATTTAAGTTACTGAAAGTATTAATTTTAGCATTCTGATCCTAGGATTCATGTAGCCAACCTACCTAAATGAGACACAAGACTTGGTTTGGTTTGGTTTGGTTTAGGCTGTCAAAGAAATAATGCATATTAGAACACATTGCCTAAAAAAGGTTATAATAAGAGGGTCAGTTCCTTTAAACTTGATATGCATATCAGAAGGAATAATGACAAAATTGTGCACAAGTGCCTGATTATGAATAGCTAAAAACATCAGAACTAATATTATGTACCTGAGAGAATCTCATCCTTGGCAAAGGCATCTATTGCTGTGATAAGGAAAAACTGTGGAAGCAGCAACGACGAAATCAACGCAACAGGAGCCAAAATCCAAAGAAAGGAGCCAGTACTTTCCTTGAAAGGGGCCGATACCAATTTACCTTCTTCAACCAACTGGTGAGTCAAACCATGAAATGACACAGAACCTGATTTACCACGAAAAGGTTCCGGTTCATCAACCCCATTTACACGCAACTTCGTCACGTCCTTTCCTGAGAAATTCAACTTCCCGTCCTGATTAGAATTGAAAACACATACAACAATTCCTCCTTTACTGAAGCTCCAACCAGAAGAGTCCCTTCTTGTCCTCTTCAAACCACCAAGCAAATTAACTGAACAAAATTCCCAGTAAGAGAAAAGCCAGTCTATAGTTTAAACCCTCGTTTGGGTGCAGAGAAAGAAAGTAAAAGAAAACAAAAGTTTCAAATGGTTTAAGTTTGTTGTTGCTTTGATTTTGAAACCTAATGTGAAAAGATTTCTAATTCTGTTCTTTTAAGAATATTTTCTCAGGAACCAAACATAGAGTAAAAGGGTAATTAAGTGAAGGAAAGAAAGAAAGAAATCATATACATTTGTATGCATTTTGGAGCCAAAGTCTTCGGTCCTTGAACCCGACATGGCTTCTAGATGTCTCGGAACAGACAGAGAACGAAGGAGAAACCTAGAAGAAATGAAAATCAAAATTGAAAGTGAGAAATTAAGGATGAGAGAGCGAGAGTGTGATTGATTGAAACTGTTAATTTGGAGAAATTACTCACAGTTTGAGAAGAAAGCGAACGTTGATTAGAAGATAATCTGATGTTTGGTGCGTGAAGCCTACAACAAGCTGACTGCAACTCCATCCTCTTCTTCTTCTTCTTCTTCTGGCTTCGTGTTTTTATTTCTGTCGAGGGTTTTAGCGGAATCCGGTCTTCCACTCTTCTCTAGCCTTTTCGACCGCTTAAACCCCTAAATCAGTTTTTATTTTATTTTATTTTTTGTATTTTTTTTTATTAAATTTTTTTAACATTTTAAGTAATTTTTTTAAATCTTTAGATACACTTAACATCAATATACTTACAAAGTACAATATTTGTGAAAAATCTTTTAAAAAATTACTAAATATCAAAAATATAAGAAAAAATACGAAAATTCAGTATATTTTTCATATTCTTGTATATTTATTGATTTTTTTAAATATTTTTTTTACAAATATTTTACTTTTTAGATATATCTAAGTAAGATACATCTAAAAAAAGTAAAAAATATTGCTTAAAATTTTAAAAATATTCATTAAAAATTAAAAAAATATGAAAAATAAAAACCTTAATTTTCAAAAAATTAAATCAAAAAAATTGAAATCAAACACAATGAATAGAATCGATTGGTAGGATAAAAAATAAGGTCCAATAACTATTTAGCACGTTGCGTATTGTTTAACCATTTAATTGGATATTTATATTATGGTATTTTTTTTTAAATAAACGATTTATATGATTTTGATAATTTTTTTAAAATAATCATAATTATAGATGTTCGATTAATTTGATTGTTTGCATAAGGGTGATGATTGAGACCCCCTCCAATCACCACCCCACACACACGGGGCGGGTGGTGATTGGAGGAGAAGGGAAAAAAAAAAGTGAAAGTGACCAATCAGGTGAAGAGGGGATCAAGGGGGTAGGAAAAAAAGAGGGTACAAGTCATTATTGTTTGCATAAATATACTCGACGAATCCTACAATATGAATAATTCGGATTATTAAAAAAAATTCAAAAAAACTCTCATCCCACACCACAGTATCCTATGGGATCTCCAAATCTGCATGTACACTTCTTATTGGCTAATTACTTTTCTAGAAGTGGAGTGCGTAAGGTGTTTGGCATAACCTATATAAGTGCACTTATTTAGATAAGTGCATTTATTTGGATCACATCAACTCTTTATTTTTTTACACATTTTTTGTAAAAAATCAAAAAATATATATATTTAGATCATCCTAAATATTCCCTAAATATTGGTTGATTTGAAAATTGACTTTTTGGTAATTTTTTAGGCTTCGTTTGGCTAAGGCTTTTTGAACTAAAAAATACAAAAGATAAAATAGTTAAATAAGTTAATAAAACAAAATGTAATTTCTGAACCATAATCATTTAACTTTTTCTATCACAAAAGTAAAAAAAAAAAATCAACTCAAATGAACTTTTTAGTCCTAAACTAAAAAAGTCCCACTCAAAAAAGCCAACAAAAAAAGTTTTTACCAAACGATAACTTAACTATTTTAGTTAATTATTGGTGACAATGCTTAATTTATTTATAATCTATTATGAAATATTGCATATTCTAAATACATGTTGCATATTTTTGTAATAAATATTACGTGTTTGTTATTAGAATTATAACAATTTATGATTAAAAATTATATATTTTTGTGATAGTGTTACTCATTTTCTAATTTACAAATATTTTGATAAAAAAAATGCAAACATTATCACAAAATACGTATATTCATTTTGAACTATAAATTGTCGTAACTCTATTAAAAGTATTACATAATATTTATTACAAAACAATGTACCATGTTAAAAAAATACGTAACTAAGTGCATATAGTGATATGGTAAGGGATTTCCATATATTATGGATGTGTCATGTAATATGATATTGCCATTAGACTTAATATCTAGGGAGAATTGTCAATTAGTTATGTTTTTGTCACGACCCAACCTTCGCCCCATGGCATTAGAGACGTAGCCAGCCAGTAATCTGAAATTATCAAAGGCCTGCTTAATAGTAAATAATATAAAGGGGTTACCAGAAGGCAATGCTATCACATTACATCGTCCAATGAACTATGAAACTAAAATGAATAAACAAATCTTTATATGCATCACTGTGCAATTACCTAATACTATACCATACACATGTACCATAAGCATATACAATACCCAAGGAATTGTGCCCTTAATTAACGGTCGTAAAACAAAGGATCTTTACGATAAGTCACTTGATCACTTTACAAAATGGTGAACTCATAGTGTAACAACCCTCACCACTGTTTACCGAAAAATTACTGATTACTGCTAAACTGAGACTGATTATGATTGGTAATTGAATTGATTGAAATACTGAACTGACTGACTGAAATCTGGAACTGAATTGATTAAGTATATCTGTTTAATTGTATGTCTATATGTTCGTTTGGTAAACTATCTGTTCATGTTTTATGCATTAAACTGCAAATTGAAGGCCTTATCGGCGGCCGAACCAGAAATTGATTAGTGTCTTAAGATCAGTAGAATTAATGTGATTTTATGGCATAATTATCTGAAATGTGATTTGGCACGATTAAATTAGGATAAATAATGTTGAATTGCAAAGTTGGCCTTATTCACAATTTTGCCACTTAAATGGCCCACTATCTAAACATTTTTTAGCTCACTACATTAGACATAACACATTTTCATCAACCCATTTTGTGAGCTATAGCCGACTAGAGTGAGAGAAATAGAAGAAGTCTTGAGTTCATGAGTTTTAGTTTGGTGACTTGAAGATTTGGAAGAGAGATTTCATAATTGAGCCTCGTTACCTCTAATTCAAGACCTAAGGTAGTATACTTACCCTCTTGCTTCTGATTTGAGCTTGTTATTGCATGATTCATGTCTAAATTAAGGGATTGAGTCTAGAACTAGCTTAAGTTGTTGAATTGAAGCTTAATCTTTGCATGCATGGCATACTCTTGCATTTTTGAGGTTGTTCTTCATAAATTTGCCACATGCATGTTCATATTTTTGCATTGGACCATGAACTCATCTTGGTTTTGAAGGAATTGGCTCATTTAAGCAAGTAATTGAAGCTTTGAATTGGTTTAAACTCATGCATGTCATGTTTGAGTTATGTTCTTGAGTTTTGGTTTGAAATTGGATTTATTTGAACTACCTTTGGGCTTTGATTTTTACAATTGAGCTTTGAATCATGTTAAACTATGAGTTTTGAAGTGTTTTCTAGGAAATAAGCCCAAAGGAATCGAATTTGACACATTTGAAGTTGAATTTGAGCTTGAGGTTCAAATCTGGAGATTCCAGATTTTGAACTCATGCTCGAGTGGGGTGAGTGGAACTCGAGTGGGAAATTCGTGCTCCCAGTACTTTGCACTGTTTTGACGTCTGCTCGAGCAGAATAATTGATGCTCGAGCGGGGCCTTGTGTATTACGCTCGAGCAGTTATCGAGCGCCCATCGAGCGTGATTTTCACCTATCCAGTACTTTTGCCCTGTTTTGCAGAACGCTCAAGCGGGAAAGTATACACTCGAGCGGATACCTTTGTCTGCATGTCCGCTCGAGCGGGGAAACCTACGCTCGAGCGGGACCTCTGTTTTCTGAAAATTCTGAAAAATGTTTTAAAGTGCATCTTTGCATCATCATTTCATCCTAGGCATTCTTAGGCCTAGTTTAAGGCATCTTAATGAGGATATAGATGTAGAATACACTGAGGGAAATTAGGGATTAAGTTATTATCTTTCCCAACTGTGTAGCTTAGTGTGTGTTCGTCCTGTAAACTGTGTGGAGTTGGCGATTGGAGACGCGCTCTAGCTTAACTGTAGCCCAGAACTCTGTGAGTAACAACTGTGTAAAGATATGTTCAAAGATGAATATTTTATGACTGTTAATTGAACTGCTTTCTGAACTGTTACTGTTAACTGAATGAATGTATGTCCTCTATTCTGAACTGTATTGTGGCCATCCTTAGCAACTATTGTTACTGTTACTGCTACTGTTACAGAGATCTCTGTCGGTTCCCACGTTTGGAACTATTACTGATGGCCATCATTGACTGCTCGGTCTTTTAAGACCTACTATTTACTGTACTGTTATGCTAATGGATGTACCACATATGACTATTATGACTGAATGACTGAAATACTGATTTAATGAACTGTTTTCATTACTGTAAGGACATTCATTCTTAACCTCTTTATGCATTATGTTATTCATTGGGCTTTAGTTCACTGTTTATATATATATGTAGGTGTTCAGGCACTAGACCGGAGCTAGGAGCGTGGGTTAGACTCCCCTTTTTGTCGAGCCAACCATTGTGCCTCACTGCGAGGTTCCGAGCCTGCCAAGCTATGGCTTAGGGGTGTTTTAATTTCCCCATCTGTCTCTTTATCTATTTTGTAATAACTATATAGACTGATAGCACTGTACTGTACTGTTTAACAGGGATTAGGTCCCCATTCTGATCGACTGTAAATGTTGTACATACTGTTTTGTACTGTTCATGTATATATGTATGGAAAGTCTTTTTGCATACAGACTGTCACAGCTCATTGGACATTGTTTATTTACTGTATTGGCTTCCGCCATGCCCCTGTACTCTGTTTTACTGTTCTACTGTTAAGCAGGCCTTCGGTAATCTCGGATTACTGGCCGGTTACGGTACTAAACCCATAGGGGCGGGTTTGGGTCGTGACACATAGTCACCTCAAAAGCCTTGGACGTAGACCCAAAATAAACCTCGAAGGGAGGTATAACGTTTGGCTTGACAAAATAGAAGGTAGGTTGACGCCCTTAAGTCCTTTCTTGAGTTTGATCACCTACACAACAAATATAAACTGTAAGTTAAAGCACAGTGAATAACAAATGTGTAAAGAGGTTAGGAATTATGCTTGTTGAAACATTAATGTCAAGCCGTTAGAGTAAAAAATCCTTTTACATAGCTAGGAATGGCAACGGGGCGGGGCAGGGCCGGGGATCACCCTCCCCGTCCCCGATCCCGACGGTGAAAATGTCCCCGGCCCCGATCCCCGACGGGGAACCTATGACTGTCCCCATCCCCGCCCCCAACGGGGATCGGGTTTCCCCGACCCCGAAACTTCCCCGATCCAAATCTGTTTCAACATTCAAAACACAAAACACACACAGATACACAAAACACATAC